GGAGAGATGGCTCAGCAGTTAAGAGCACTGACTGCTCTTGCAGAGGACTCAGGTTCAATTCCCAGCACCCACATGGTGGCTAGGAATCGTCCTTAACTCTAGTTCCAGGGGACTCTGAAGCCCTCTTCTGACCTCCGTGGCATTGCACGGCACGGATGTACTCACATACATACAGCCAATACACTCATATACATAAAATAAAAATAATAAATAAAATATTAAAAAAAAGATTCTAGCCTAATATGCACAGTGGATTCCAGCATTTTCCAGCTAAGCTGGCATTTTTGGTGTGCATTATCATCTATTTCAAAATATTTGCTGGTCTCCATCGGTATGTTCTCACTCATTTGTGTTAAAGAAATCCTACCCATTTTTGTAGGCGCAGCTTAAACGTTTACTTCTATTTCCCCATCGTTCAAAAAATTATAGCCCATTCTCTGATTATTGGAGAATATGTCAAAGCTCCTCTGGTAGGTAATTTTGGTTGACTTACATATGCACATGCACCTTACAGAAGTTTTTTTAAAAATCATATCTTAGATTTATGATTTTTTAAAAGATTCTTCTTTTTTTTTAAAGTTTACGTGTAGGAGAGCTTCCTGCATATATGTATGTGCATTGTGGGCATGCCTGGTGCCACAGCAGGCAAGAGGACCTGGAGTTACAGATGGGTTTGAGCCACCAGGTGGGTGCTGGGACTCAAACGAACCCACGTCTGCCACAAGAGCAGCAAACATTCTGCTGTGAACTCTTAACTGCTGCGTCAGCTCTCTTGCTCATTGCAAAGTTTTTCTTTTTTTAATTATTTATTTAATAGCCACATTCTTAGAAGAAGCATTTCATTAGAACAGCATTGACATATTCAATAACAATTTTCTGAGCTAAGATGCGTCTTTTTTTAAATTGGCTGTAAAATTTTAGGTTTACAGTTGAATTAATATAGTTATACACTATTGTACTCAGTATAAACCCTGTAAGACAAAATTAAGTGAGGTTTTAATCTTTAAAAAAGATCTCTATTTCATTATTAAAATATGCAGTTTCATACAGAAAACTTTTTTTTTTTTTTTTAAGCAGGGTCTTTTTATAGGCCCAGCTGTCCTGGAACTATGTAGACCAGGCTGGCCTTGAACTCACAGAGATCCGCCTGCCTCTGCCTCCCAAATGCTGGGACTACAGGCATGCGCCACCACGCCCAGAAAACTTCATTTTTAGTGCAATTAACACAAAGGTGTTTGCACATGCATTTCTAATTTCTATATATCTGATTATTACTAGTCAAAAGTCAGTTACTTTCTGAGATCCTTGGCATCTGAGCATGGATAGAAAGTCATCAGGTATATTTAAATGATAATGTTTTTCACATCTACTAATTATTAAGGAGCAAATTTTTATGCTTTGAAGAATTATTTTAATCAGTATTTTTTAATTTTT